TTATAATCTGATTTTCACTAAATCAGCGGCAATTACTACTGGCTACTAAATGCTATACGTACTGTCTGACGTTAGTCATTTTTCCAAATCTCCTCTATATTCTTCAGGAAGTGTCATATCATTTTATTGTGGCAAGGGATTACTGTAAATTGACTTTTGCATGCCAGAGATGCAGATGTTTTAAAGCCAATGTTTGTGTAAGCTTTCAAAACTCTGCGTCATCAAGTGTTCATTACACTAGCGTCCTGGGTATGACGATAAGCTACAACCGGCAGCACGGTCTCTGATTGAGAGAGTGGAGGTTTTGAAAAGCGTTGAACTACTTGTTAATTGCTGTTGTTCTCTGGCTCACCCTGACCCCGGATGGTAGCACCTGTTAGGGTCCCAAATATTGCCGAATAGTTAACACCTAAAACTGGGGTTAAAACACTATGAAAGTATAAAAAATTCATTTTATAGTAAAAATACCAGCAATACATTTTCATATAAAAAAAAATTACCAGCAATACCTTATTGAATAAAATATTTTTACCAGCAATACATTTTTGAAAACAAATTTGCATCTATATATTTTTGAAAAAAAAATTAATTATTCTCCCAAGAAAATTAAATTTCGTCATTAAATGACCCATAAGGAGTTGTTATGCCATTAAACGAACAAATAAGCAAACATCATTACATAGACATAAATTTAATGAGTATCCCTGACGTACATCTGAAATAATACGGTAAGATATTTTTCACTTTGTACGGAATTATTTTTTATTGTGTATTGTCACCAGAGTGTACTGAGGGGGCTTTAAGTCCGGGTTGAGTTAGAATTTGCACACTAAACTTAGTTCACACCATGTTCACAGAGGGTATAAATGATTTTCTGAGTGGCAGACCTTCACTTAGCGACGGGCCTGATTGCCTACCTTCCTTCTCAGAAATAAACGACACTGAAATAGACATGCACTTTCCATATGGACCCAGTGGCTCTGTTTTGTTATGTTTAATTGTGAATTATTAATGAATTATTTCCCATTCTACAATCGCTTTCCTCGTAGACAAAAAGTTTCTAGCCTATCGCTATTCTACCGCTATTTTCATGGCGAATGTTCAGACGAGCTACATTCTTTAGTTCCGTCAGACCAGACTTTCAAATCTACGACCCGCCATACCACGTACACAGAATTGACGCATCTTCCTTCCTTTTGTGTTTCATTAGTGAGGAGGAAGTTCCACTCAGGCAGCTCCTTCCTCGGCACAGTTACATTGTGAAAGAATGCTTCTTCGAACACTACAATATTAACCTCTTCAAATCTAGAGTAAACTGTTATCTACCCTACATATTTTCATAATATACACCTCTTACTCCGTCCTTGTACGCCCTTACTAATTCGGTAACCCCTACCTAGAGTGTCTCTTGGGCCTTGTCTTGAGAGAAAAATGCTATTAAAATATTAATTTTTTTTTCATTTTCCGCAGCCATCCTTCATTTTTTTTTTTGCTCTGATTTGTTATTCGATTTTTTTCTTGCGCTATGCACAGTCTGGATAGACGCCTGTACAGTAAAACTCGTTCTAGAAAAGGGCCCCTCCCAAGAAAACCCTAAACTACGAAATGGATCGTGAATGTGGACAACTGACAGATGAATTCAGTCTTATGCACGCGAAATCCGATGTACAATAAAAAAAAGATAATAGAATTTATTTTTCAATAAAAGAAATACAATTTATTTTTCATTTTCTAAGGAACTTCGAATATATCTGAACGTTCTTCTTTGGTTTATTCTTCGCATCTGTTGGCCGAATAGGGAAGTCAGTTAATATAATCAGATGGAAAAAATAAGATAGAAAGAATTAAAAAAAATGGACGAACTTTGAAAATGTGTTAAAAGAAAAAAAAGAAAACAGTTGCTTCTGTCTCCTAATGTATTTTTCCACTGCATTCCGAAACATCAGTCATTGCCAGCGTGATGGAAAGGAACGATGGCAGGGGAGAGCGGAGAACGTCAGTTCTTGAGCCTCGTTCTGAAAGCGAGGCTCCCCTCGTGGATTATGACTCAGAGGCCATGCTCGGCCACTGAGATTGGCATCAGTATTTCACGCACGAATTTCTTGGCGCGAAAATAATAAAATAATAATAATAATAATAATATCAGATTTCCCTCATCCACTTTGCCGTTCCTTACTTTTTGACTGCTTTACTTTCTTTGCTATTTTCTTATTTTTTACATTATTATTATTATTATTATTATTATTATATTATTATTATTATTATTATTTCTGTTTTAGTTTTTGATTTTTTATATATTTTTGCAGTTATTTTTGCCATTTTATTTATATATATATATATATATTTTTTTTTTTTTTTCATTTTTCCTGTTATTTCTTTTTTGTTATTTAACTCTCATTAATTTTATTCTAACTTTACGGGATTGTGTCTTACTGAGATCCGTTATTTGTCACTTCTTTCTTTTCACCGTTCTTTATCTTCTTCCTCTTGCTCTTCTACTTTCTCCTAAACTTTCCCTTCTTTCGTTTGTTTTTCTCTTTCACTGTTGCTCCTTCTATCGTCGTCGTTGTCGGCGGCGGCGTTGACGTTGCAGTTCTCTTCTTTCTATTTCGATTTGCTTTGCTTTCTGCTTATCTTCGACTCTCTCTTTGCGCCGTATCGATTGTGACAATCGCCATCATCACAATCATCATCATCATCATCATCATCATCATCATGTAATATTAGTCATAGCTCTAGCAATAGTAAGAGAAAAGGTAACTCCTCCAAGCAGAAATGTTTCATGTATGCTATTAGCATTGATTTATGCTTCCAAAAAGAGATTTTCCCACCAGTAGTATCTAGAAGCTCATTCTGAAGGTAAAGTGACAGCAGTTCTTCTCAATACTCGCCTTCAACATTATCATTTTATTAGTTATAATGTTACTATTATTACCCGAGTCATAAGTAATTTTCATTCTGGGTAGGGGAACCAACTATATTGATGACGATATTTTAGGTCCTAACAATTAACTATTTTGGCAGTTAAGAATACATTTGGAGAATACTAATATTCCTTAGTTTGGGAACGGCAATGGCAGCGTACACAGTGGTTTAAAAGTCTATGACAACACAAGGCTGCGTACAGCAAGAATAACAATGGAAAAATTTATGGAAATCGGTTTTTCTGAACTAAGCCACACGCCAAATTCACATGATTTTGCCAGAAACTATTTATTACCTTCTTTTTATCATTGCAAAATGCTTTGATCACGGAAACTCTCTTTAATAAAAATAGACCCAAGAATTCATCGAAAGCTTGTTTTTTGGGGGGTGGGTGTTTGTTTTGTTCTTTTAGGTGGGAGAGTTCACATCAACTTTGCAGAATTTCACTCAAAATTTATCAAAAAGCTTCCTGATAAGTGGCAACAAGACATTGCAAATGATGGTGAATATATACATAAGAATAAAATGTAATTGTACTTTATTTCTTTTTACAAATAAAGTTGATAAGCAAAAACAGAAATTATTTATGACTAAATATAATATCATTGTTTCTATTATCTGAATTTACCCTTCGATGGTATCTTGGTTTAGTTTCGTTTGTTTTAAGGCATGTCAACCTCAATGGGTTATTTAATGCCAACAAAATTTTTATTGCTGGTAATATTTTGTTTTGTCAAAAATCTTTTTCTGGTAATATTTTTCCTTCAAAAATGTATTGCTGGCAATATTTTTTTTTCAAAAATATATTGCTATTAATATTTATTTTTTAAAAACATTGTTGGTAATATTTTTTTTTTCAAAAATGTATTGCAGGTAATAATTTTTTACAAAGTATTTCTGGTATTAAAACCTATTTTTACACTTTCATCGTGTTTTTACCCCAGTTTCGGGGTTAACTATTTGCCCATAGCTGGGACCCTAATATGTGCTACCACCCCAGGCCAGGGTGGACCTGGGAACACCAGCAATTAAGAGGGGGTTCCACGCTCCTCAAAAACAATAATCCCTGGACGTAGTTTATCGTCTTACCCAGGACGCAGATGTATTTTATCGTCATACCCAGGACGCTCGATGGTATCTGATGGCATCTATTACAGAATAAGTGATTTCTCAATACACTACCGCTTTATTATTCATTATTGGTATTATATGAATTTTCACATTACTCGTATATGAAGATTTTATTAGTGATTACATGATGTTTTTTTCTTAAACAACTCATTTATAAGCAACTGTATTGAAATTTGAATAAATCTTAAGCTGATGTCAGCGTTGCTTAAGTAACAAAAAAAAATCTAAAACAAGAAAGAAAAAGGTGAAATTTAAAATTTACCAAAGACATTATTTTATACAATATTCAATAATTCTACCGGTTCTACTAGATATTATCAAAATGCTGATACTCATTATCTGAGGCCTTACTCTCACACTTGGGTCAGCTAGTGTTTCTAATTGCAGATGAACGTCCTGTATCACTGTGATCTTCAAGACTCGTATCTCCATTGGGTCACTTCAGAAAGCAGCGCCGTATTGTTTGATCATAATGTGGACCTTTCTCCTCATGCTCTTTTAATGTTGGCAGCAGTTTGGGAAGCATTGTGGCCAAGCTTAAAACTCAAAACGGTAAACGCATCTCTTATTTTTCATGTTCAGGATGAAGAGTATATAATGATTTAAGTTAAATTCTAAAAGAGATTGATATGCAATTAACAAAGAGAGCACTCTAATCATTAGGAATTAATAATATATTTTTGTGCAGCTACCATAATAATATATTAGAACACAAAACGCTTATTTTCAAATCGGGCATTGTTTCCCGAACAACCTAATATATAGAAATGTCTATTTATTAGATACAAGCATAAAAAGTAAGCAACCCGAGTACTAGTCATAATACTAAGTTATTTATTAAAATATCATATATACAAGAATGAGAAGTCATAATAATTCCAAAATTCAACCAATCCATTCTACAGCCTTCTTTTATCTGCTAAATCCCTTCAGGAGGCTTATATCATATCACGTTGAAACACCGATTCTCGTACGATCACCAAAGTTAACCAACATCGATTCTGGTTAGTATCTAGATGGGTGACCGCTTGGGAATAACCAGTTGCTGTAAGATAGGATGTGCGGATGGAGTAATCGATAAGAATTGAAACTCTGAGAGCCGAGTTCCAATTCCAATCAGGTTCGTTATATTCACTTACACACAATTACTTGTGGGAAAGGCATGAATCCAACTTTTCCCTTCCCCAGCTATGGGTTAATTAGTAGGAATTGTATCAGTAAATTATTATTATTATCTCACAAAAATTTCTAACAATCTGAAAATATTTTCGGGTTTTAAATAACCTGCAAAAGCCGTAAAAACTAATCAGTCAACACTTTCATTATGGTTTTTCACAATTTGAGAGGGATCTTTTTCACTAAATGTTTTTATTTCAATTAATAAACCTGATGTAATGAATATGCATACACCTGGGTTCCCCCTAACAGTAATATGATTGGCTGGTGTCAGCCATAAATACAGACTGATGTGGAGGTACAGGGTTGACGCCTATTGGCTACGCCTATACTCTTCGCCTATTGACGACGCCTATTGCCTACCACTACGACGAGGACCAGTCCATTATGGTTACCTGATAGATTGTTCTACTCGGTTACAGTAGTCCAAAACCACTTTGCTACTTCGAACAAGTATATCTCCCTTTTCGGGACATATCAAGACCAATTATAGATCATTTCGTGATTTTTTGTAGTCTTATTTTAAGAAACGTAAAATTAAATGTAACACTGGAGTTACTAAACAGGATATTTTACACTCAATTTAGTTCTACCAATTCTACTACTTTAGTTATATCAGGGTTTCCCAAGCTGGGCGATATCTCCAACCGGTGGGTGATTTCAACTGTTGGGTGTGCGATGAGAAACTGAACAGAGTATGGTAGGCGACAGGAAAAGTTGGTGGGTGATATAGCATGTTGTGTATTAAAAATGTATTTTAACGAAAAAAAAAATATTCAAAGGAGATATGCACAGAACCTGTATTTAAAAAAACAAAAAAACAAAAAAAAAAACAGAGGCCAAATGGGATTAACAAGATCAAATTCCCAGATAAGATATATCCCCGCAAACATGGAATATTTTGGTATTTACTATAGTTTTGAGAAGGGTTATTAACATTCAAATATTTCTTAAGACGTAATAACGTTTTTTTCGGATATAAATTCGATAAAGAAAAACCAAGAACAACAAAAATATTCGCTGAATTTTTATTAGTTCCTAGTAGTGTACATTCGTTTTCATTTTATATTTATGAACAAAAATCGTTTTATTTTATGTCAACACTTGCAAGACTAACCCCAACCATAAAACTAAATTATATATATAGTGATTTTCTAAGCGTAGCTTAGATGTGGCACAAGGCTGAAAGTAGGGGGCACCCAGTGAGGATCGAATTCACTACTCAGGCGTAATTGTTCTAGCGAAACAAGCTTGCTAACCATTAGACCGCCTTGGGGTGCTCAGCAAAATTATATATATATACTTGTTAATGTTCTTTGATGCGGTAGTAGCAGCAGCAGTCTTCGCCTTATGTCAGCGATGTTTGTTACCTCCCTTTGGCATTTTTCAGTCAATTATGTGTTCCACGTTAAACACGCTTAGGCGATCATGTATCTTTTGATACATGACTGACGATGCAGATTTTTCCCACCATAGGTTGCCATTTCTTTCTGCGATAGACCAGTTGCCATCCAAGGCTATAGAACCCAGTCTATCCTGCTATTTACCCATATCTGGTGGGAGAAGAAGAGGATTCATACCTTTCCCAAGGGTATTAGCACGTAAGTGAATGTAATGGATTCGACTGGAATTCGAACTCGGCTCTCCAATTCCTCAATCCGAGCCGCTATCCATTAATCCACCACATTTTTTGCTATGTCATAAAGTCAAGATGCTTTTGAATATTCACGTAATAGGTGTAAAATTATTTCACGTGAAAGTGGGAACCCCTGAGTTACATTGGTTTATCTTCCTTTTCTCTTTTCTTCAGGCCCAAGTGAAAACATTTAAGTTACCATTTAAGCAACTTTAGTATTGATTCTTGCCCAGGAATTAAACAACACGTGTACTGGTTAAAATTCTAAGTTCCTTTTTTTTAAAAAAAAAATTCATGTGAGAACAAGTCTTCTCATTGCTTCAATGTTTTTTTCAATATTCTTGTAAATTTCAATAATGCTTTCTAAAGAATTTCAGATCAGGCTGGGATTTTCTTTTTTTTTAAACAATGTAATACGAAAAAAGAAATTGTATTTCTCTTTAACGGAATGCATGAAACTGTCCCAAAGTGTCTTGAATAAATGGAAACAACTGTGTGTGCAAGGGACCATGCTCCTCCCCTAGATTTTATCTCCTCCTCGGGAGGAAACTGAGTTTATTGTCCGGGACGTGAGACGTCCCCAAACGAGAAAGTTCCGAGGTTGTTGTGAATAAACTCACTTAAAAAAACTACGACCTTGTGTCACATCTGGTTGCGCTGGTAAATACACAAACACACGTACGTATGTGTGTGTGTTTGTATGTATATATATATATGTGTGTGTGTGCGCGCACGCTCGTGTATGTATGTGTGTATGTGTGTGTGTTATCACTTTAAACGTTAGTGGATACTCATATTTGAATAGCATATCGGATCTAACGACAGTTCCCTTCCCTCAAGGGGACACAGGTTCGAATCCTGCCGGAGAGCGCATATTTTTCCTAAATAAGATTTCTCGAATATTCAGGAAGGTAGACAAAAATAAATAAATATACTGTTTAATAAATAACTGGAGCGTCTACTCAAATATGAGTATCCAATAAAAATAACGTCTGTCGGATTAATTAATTAATTAATTAATTAATTAATTAATTCATTCATTCATTCATTCATTCATTCATTCCTCTCTATATTTATCAATCTCAGTCTGTTTATATCTATCTATCTATCTATCTATCTATCTATCTATCTATCTGGCTGTCTTAGTTTGTTTCAAATCTATCATTCTTTCTCAGTCTGTTCATATCTGTCTGTCTATTTTTGAGTTTCAAATTGACGAGACGATTATTATTTTTGGAAAAAAAATCCACCTGCGACATCATTATTCCAATCAACCCTTTTATTAAATATTCCTTAAATTTCCTCCTACCTTTTTCATTTAGCAAGTGGGCATTCTAAGACAAATTGTTTCCTTGAACATTTAATAAAAGTGCACTTGAAATAAGCATGTCGCGGGTGGATTTTTTCTCCAAAAAAAATAATCGTTCCGGCCCATCTATTTGAAACCCAAATGTACCTATCTACCCGCGATGTTTTGCTATTTCATCGATTTTAACCTTACTTTCACTTATTAATACCATGTTTCTCTTTTCAGATAACCTCTTTACAGCCCTGCACTTTATCTTGTCTTCTATATTCTTGTGTGTCTATTTCTTTCCTAAATTGTCAAGGCTGATATTCTTCACTTCTTTCCAGTTCCTTCTATTATTGCTATTTTCCCTGTCCCATTCACTATTCGTTAGACGACTCACCTTTTGCACTTTATCATTTCTAAGTATAGCTTAGATGCGTCCCATTTTTTATCGCCTTATGAAAAAAAAAATTATCTCACATGCTGTTCATAATGACCGCCGAATCGTTTCCGAGCATAGCCGGATGATGGGGCAGCTAAACATTCCCAGTTGCAAACGCCTGCTCAGACACATTATGCTTGTTCAGAACCCTACAGCGCCTATCAGTGGTTTATACTGCAACTATGCTGAGCGCGTGCCGAGTGGTTAGAACGTTTTCTTTCCGACTATGAGGCCCGGGTTCGGGTTTCATCATGGTTGATTTGTTAGGAAAGTGACTTCTTGATGTTATCGGCCTTTAGAGGCGGCCACACCGTGCGGCACCTTTGGAAAGTACCTGAAAAGGATACAACGGTTTGAACCAAGAATGTGAGTGAAATTTGGTAGACAGAAAGATTTGGGAGCCGTAAATGGTTGCATTAGCACGAAGTCACAAGTCATCGTGACCGAGAGTTTAAACGTACTATTTTTTTGGGGGATTTTTTTTTGCTTTTTAGGACTGCTGATCATACCAGATAATGCGCTCTCTCCCCGAACCTGTAAGTCCGCTCAGCATAGCTGTATTATAAACCACGGTTGGGATCGGCGTGTTTTGAAAAAAAAACACAAATGTGCTTCAGCAGGTATCGGCAACAGAGTTTAGCTAGCCGCCCTAGTAGAGAGGCATATTCACACATATATATATATATATATATATATATATATATATATATATATATATATATATATATATATATCGGAGAGCCGAGTTCGAATTCCAGTTGAATCCATTACATTCACTTCCGTGGTAATACCCTTGGGAAAGGTCTGAATCCTCTTCTTCTTCCTCCAGCTATGGGTAAATAGCAGGACAGACTGGGTTCTATAGCCTTGGATAGCAATTGGTCTAGGAGAAGGACAGCTCTGAATTCAAAACCTGCGGAGGGTCGTTTGGGGACCTTGTGGCACGTAGTGCACCAGGTCTCTGTATTCGGCCCTTCAAAAAGTGTGGCTGGTCCTGCACGAAACCTTCACCACTATAATCAATTCTCATGTGCTGTTGTCGGGCTGTCGGTGTCCTGGGAACTGATCTGCTTGACCCTCATACGTCGATTTCGACGGAGAGTTCAGTTATATATATATATATATATATATATATATATATATATATATATATATATATATATATAAATGCTGATTGGACTTGAATAAGAGAGCGTATAATCCGACGTGATCAACAATTTGAACAAGGCCAGTGCTCTCAAAATCCCGGCCACGATCACTTGTAGTTTCGTGCTAGCACAAATCTCAACAGCTTTGAAACAATTATGTCAACCCAATTTCACTCACAAGTCTTGGGGCAACCAGTAGTATGGCTTTTGAGATCTTTCCAGCTGTACCTCACGCTGGGGTCGCCTCTCCGCGGTGGCAATCGTGCGATTCGAACCGGTGACTTATGGTCGGAATGTGAACTATTTAACAAGACACCCTCAAACGCGCCCATGGTGATTTTCTAAGTGTAGCTTAGAT